CATATTTTTGTGAAACACTTGTGCTTCATGATTCTTTGATGAGAGATTCTTTACAGTCACCTTGAAACAACTTTAAGTATGTGTAAAAATAAAACCGTAATTTTTACGGTAAAAAACCGTCAGCTGTGATTGCCAGAACTTTACCGTCAAAAATACGGTAGCAACCTTATTGGTTTTACAGACTTAATTTAAAATGTACAGTAATAAACCGTATTTCATTATCTGATATAATGTTAATTCATCAACCTATTGAAGTATTGATATCTGTTTTGTACCATTGTAATACACTGGCAACCACCAATCATAACAGCAGTGATGAGTCACATGATCAATCAAAGCTAATCTTAAGCCCACACAATGGTTTAAACTTAAAGAAGCTGCACAGTGTCATTAAACACCATCATGGTAACACACATGAAATTAAAAATGCAATAAACATTCATTTAACAACATTAATGTAACATAAAACCCAGATTAGAAAAAAAAACAAGAAAACCATGAGGAAACATAGTTATTTTACATAAAAACTTTAAATGTGAAGTGTCACATAGGGAATTGTGGGAATTGTCATTTTACGTTTTTTCACTGTAAATTATACAATGAGTTGTTCTTTTCACTTTCAAAAACTGTAAATTTAACAGTATTTTACAGTAAAATTACCTGAAATGGCCCATGATATCTATTACAGTTATTTACCGTATACGGAAACGTTCCATTAATTAACTTTTACCGTTAAAAAACTGTCTTTTTACTGTTAAAATAATGATTTTTTTACTATAAGAAAGTAGCAGCACACATTCCCATTTTCCTATCAATCTCACCATGTTGTTGGTCTGAGGTAAAATAGAGAAGGAGCGTCACACACCGTGGGAAACAAACAAAAGAAAACTGCCTCTGTCGAAAGTAAAATGATTCAGCTCTTGCTATGGATGAACTCTGAAGAAAGTGAGACATCATAAACAGTGACCGACGCTATCGCATGGTCCCTCATTCCCACATCGGAGCGTCCCTGAAGTGGAAACACGGGCCCAAAGGTGAAACACATTAGAACACATGATTTAATGTTGTGGTGACAGAAGAGTTTGAAATATGATGCGAAACGCTGTCAGAACATGATACAGCATGAGATAGAGAACAGCTTGGGAAATAAACGCTCCAGTTCGTCCTTATGATTTTTTAAAAATCCTATGGAGTCCCTTTTGTTTCTTCGCGCTGATGTTATTTTTGGCACAATACAGGCCAAATGCCTTCATCTTATATACGCCATTCTAAAAATGCTGGGTTGTTTTAACCCAATTTTGGGTAAAATGGACAAACCCAGCCATTGGGTTACATTTTTAAATTACATTTTAACCCAATGGCTGGGTTTGTCCACTTTATACCCAAATATGGGTTAAAACAACCCGGCATTTTTTAGAGTGTTGCTGAATAAAAGTATTCATTAAATAATATTTTACTTAGTCTTAATATTGTTAATAATAAAGCAGCAAAAACAGTTTCCAACATTGATATAAGAATCATCATATCAGAGTGATTTCTGAAGGATCATGTGACACTGAAAATTCAGCTTTGATCACAGGAATAAATTACACTTTACACTCTAAAAAATGCTGGGTTGTTGTAACCCAATTTTGGGTAAAATATGGACAAACCCAGCCATTGGGTTAAAAATGTAATTTAAAAATGTAACCCAATGGCTGGGTTTGTCCATATTTTACCCAAAATTGGGTTAAAACAACCCAGCATTTTTTAGAGTGTAACACATGTTCACATAGAAAACAGTAATTTTAAAATTATAATAATATTTCACAATATTACTGTTTTTACTGTATTTTTGCAGCCTTGGTGAGACATTTTTGTTTCAAAGATATTAATTATTCCAAGCTATGAACATATTTCTATTAATGCTGACTGATGCCAGATGTTCACATAATACCATTGCCATAATTTATCAAATATTGCTATCAAAAACATTCACTTCCAGCTTTATGTTACCACTTCTGATGTTGTTGAAAATAAGAAAATAGCTTTAGCAGCCAATGCATTTGGATAAAAGTGTCTGATAAATGCATAAAGACCATCAAACCATGATCTGCATACATTCAGTTTTCATTGTTTTGATTAATAAAGAAAAAGGCATGTTATAGTGCCGTTCAAGATAAAAGATGACAGTAAATGTGGTTGTTTGTGCATGATTTTTTGATCTTTTTGTGAAAGCTATTTGATGCCATTGTGTGATAGATATTTAAGTCATTAAATCATTAACATATATATATATATGAAGAGTTCAGATGCAAAAGCCTCTAAGTGCCATTTGAAATTTTCTTCTAAAATGATCATTTTATCAAGCTTGTATTTTTAAGTTCAGTAATTTCACTTAAAAGGCAATGAAGATTACCTATTAATTGTCATTTAAGTGAAATTACTGAACTTAAATATACAAGTTTGATAAAAATGGTCATTTTAGAAGAAAATTTCAAATGGCATTTAGAGGCTTTTGCATCTGAACTCTTCATATATATATAAATATATATATATATATATATATATATATATATATAATTAAAGCATTTAAATCTATCAATAATACACATGCATAATAATCAATGGGAATGCATCATGACCAAAACATTGAGATTTACTGTATGTATGAGAAGACCAACACGGTTATGAAGCATAAGGTCAAAATACACAATTCTTAGTTTTTTCCACAATTTCATAATTCTACCTATTAAAGCATGTTTTCATTTGGCTTGCATGAAACAAATGTATACAAATTTGACGAGGGTCGCCCAGTTCTTGCCATGCATGCGTGTTATGCAATGAGAAACAGCTGAAACACAAGCCATCAAGGTGAAATCCAGGCCTTGCAGCGTTTCTGAGGAAATGCGAGCCAAACGCAGGCTGATGTTTAAACTTGACTTGTGTTGAATTAGACTTCTCTAACATTTTGCAATTATACAAAAAGCGAGTGACAGGAGAAGTTCATCAGATTTCGACCTCAGAAGAGAGACACAAACATGCCTCAGCTGAAAAGCACAGATGTTACCGCATCTCATGTTTCCTAAAAACCTTTTAGCGTGGCACTTCGCTTTCTGATTGTCAGCTTGCTGTTATGTAAACTTTAATTCTGTTTTTCTAAGCCTTGACTTCACACACACCACATTGATAATATGAACAGGGAACCTTCTGATCAAATTCACATCATGTGCAAATTCTACTGAGATTTACTCCAACTTTAGATTTTGTTTGGGTAAAATCACGTCAAAAAAACGAAATCTGAATAATAAAAGAGTGGAACGAAATCGTGGTCGAATTTTTTTTTAGGGAAATCTCTTTCTGTTTTTATTTTCTGTGTAAAAGTCACGATTACACTTTTTTTTCTGTGCAAAAAGCACATTTTGTGAATGCTGGAATGATATTGGGTAAGACGGGGTAAAACACAGCTATTTTTACATTTTGTCAATTCATCGAAATATCAATATGTGCGGGATTTAGTTAGCCGAGAAACTATTATGAGGTTAATTCATCTCATTTAATTGTTTTTTGTTGTTTCCGTTTGTCAAAGAGGGACATTTTAATGTTATTAGATTGGATGGTTTTTGTTTGTTTGAAATAAAAAGATCAAATCAGACCCTTGGGGTAAGATGGGCCACCAGAACTGGCATAGAGTGGCATTTTGTTTACGAACAATGTGCATGTACTTCTAAATAGTACAAGTTCATGTGCTGATGCATTAGTTAAAATAATTAGAAACGTTTGCAAATTTGGTTTGGTCCCCCAGCTTAACTTTTACACTCTAAAAAATGCTGGGTTGTTTTAACCCAACTTTGGGTCAAATATGGACTAACCCAGCCGTTGGGTTAAATTTAACCCAACGGCTGGGTTAGTCCATATTTGACCCAAAGTTGGGTTAAAACAACCCAGCATTTTTTAGAGTGTACAGAATGTATAAATGACTTTGATATAATTCTTATTAATATCTATTTATATATTTTTTACAACTAAATATAAACTAGTAATATTTAAAATTGAATTTTGACAATTTAATTGAATAATTGAATAGCCGATGTGCAGAATCACAGCAAGAGATTAATCTGAAAGTTGATATTTACACTCTAAAAAATGCTGGGTTGTTTTAACCCAACTTTGGGTTAAATATGGACTAACCCAGCCGTTGGGTTAAATTTTTACATTACATTTTTAACCCAACATTTCGGGTTTGTCCATATTTGACCCAAAATTGGGTTAAAACAACCCAGCATTTTTTAGAGTGTACATATTTAATTGCCCATATTTTATAAAATAAAAAAAAAACTGTGATATCTATATAATCTCTATAGATGTGTCATTTAGAAACACTATAATGCAAATTGAACGAGGTCACTCAACTAACCCATATTTTAATGAAAGCGAAGATTTCTGAAATTCAAAAAATGCTGGGTTGTTTCAACCCAAATTTGGGTCAAATATGGACAAACCCAAATGATGGGTTAAAATGTCATTTTAAAACTTTCACTTTCAACTGTACATTTTTTAATTACATTTTGGGTTTGTCCATATTTGACCCAAATTTGGGTTAAAACAACCCAGCATTGTTTAGAGTGTATGCTATTTATCACTAAATCATCATAAGAGTGATTTCTGAAGTATGTGATCACAGGAATCAATGACATTTTACAATATATTCACATAGAAAACAGCTAATTTAATTTTTTGAGACAGCAGCCTTGGTGAGTAGAAGAGACATTATTAAAATCTTAATTATTCCAAACTTCTATAGTTGAACTTGATGGCTTAAAGGAAAGTATCAGCTCATCTACATTTCCTGGATGTAGTGTTTAAATATTTGTACAATTTTTGCAAGCACTGATGACCAGCAAAGATTAGGGAAACCCACCAATGCTATACTGTGGTTAGCCAGTAATAAATAGCAAATCTTGATTGACTGTGGTTCTCAAGTAAACTGATCTGATGAGTGGTTTCTGTGTGAGGGATGTGGCTTTACCTGGCTCAGGTGTCAGGGTTGGGCCTGTTATAAGTCAATGCAGATGGGAAACGAGCACACAATCCAGAATCTGCTTTCTCCTTTCTTCACACACGAGGTGAGCCGACATCATTTTTACGGCAACCACTCAATATAATGTTTAACAGCAAATCTAAACTCCTTTGAAGATATAAAGCTGGAGGATTTCTGTTTTCTCTGAGATGCAGACTTGATTGTGATGATTGCGATTTTACTGCGTTCAAGTCCATATTCATTAATGATTTACTAAAGCTGAATTAACATTAATGTGTCGGAAACACATTTTTTTTTCTATATGCAACCCATAAAGTTTATGTATATGGTCGCTTGTTTTATTCAGAGGTGATCAAGGCTTTTTCGACAACTCATAAAGCTCTTTTATATTCACTGTTAATGATGTCCAAGGGTCAAGGCTGGAGAAATAAGGATATTGTGTTTGGGAAAACCGGCCTCAGGTGCTGCTGATAAGGTTTCTTGTATAAACACTCTCAGTTTGTGATTTTTTGTCTCATTGTACAGTAGAGACACTGGGATATCATGCGCTTCAGCGTCTTGTTCTTCATCGTCCTCCTGGGCGTCCTCTACCTCACACTGGCTCAAGGTAAATGCCACATATGATGATGATGATGATGATGATGCAACTAAGCCTGTGTTTTAAATAATCGTGTTACTTTTTGAGGTTGCAAAACATGCCGTAACGCATTGCAATGTGCTTTATTTGTTATTGCATCATCTTTAGTTGGCACTTATGAGACTCAGAACTACAACAAATAACTCAAATAGTCATTTTGCCTTTTCAAATTCATTCTAAAAAACAAACATCTTATTTAATGGTGCAGCAAATCAATCATGCAATGCAACAAAGTCTGTTTTTTTATCATGTTTAGCATACGTTTTAGTGATATTGCATATATAGGCTAATGTGTCTTTTTGGAAACTATAACTAAATGATTATATATATATATATATATATATATATATATATATATATATATATATATATGAAGAGTTCAGATGCAAAAGCCTCTAAATGCCATTTGAAATTTTCTTCTTTAATGATGATTTTTATCAAACTTGTATATTTAAGTTCAGTAATTTCACTTAAATAATTATCATTGTCATTTAAGTGAAATTACTGAACTTAAATATACAAGTTTGATAAAAATCATCACTAAAGAAGAAAATTTCAAATGGCATTTAGAGGCTTTTGCATCTGAACTCTTCATATATATATATATATATATATATATATATATATATATATATATATATATATATATATATATATATATATATATTATTACTCTAATATTATATTACTCATATTGTTCCACTCCTAGTAAAATAAAAGCAAATAATAATTTAATAAATATAAAAGAAATAATACAAATTAAGTACTGGTGATATACATCTAATGGGTACTAAACATTTATGTTTTCTTTGCTGTGCATATTTTTAATAATTATATATTCATAGTATTAAAACATATTTTTAAGTAAAAAATAAAATTTTTCACTGTAAAAAAATTATATAATAAAAAAGTTATGATAACATGTATTTTTACATGGTGTTAACTTATCAAAATAAATTAAGCAATTTAACTTTATTGCAAAAGATATACAAGATTCAACACATTTAGGTCTGTGTAATGTAATTTAAGTTGAAATGACCGTAAAAATCCAAGTGGATTGTACTGAAACATTTAAGCTAGAGATCGTTCTTACACTATAATCACCCGTGTTGTTTTTCACCGCTTCCCTGTACATTTATAGTTTTGTGAGACAGTGACACATTCACTGAATCATCCACCTGTAAAGGACATATAGTTATGATATGTTGTGTATCTCTAGGCTCGTATGAGGACTGCTGCCTGCGGTATGTTAGAAAAGTTAAACCGTCCATGAAGAGCAGAGTGACCAGCTACAGAAAACAACAGCAGGACGGAGGCTGCAACATCCCTGCCATTGTGTAAGCAACATATATATATGATCATTTATAAATGTCCATTTTGTGCACTTTTTAGACTGTGTGTAAAAAGTCAAACTTCAAAGATTTAAATTTATCATGTCTATTTATCACCTCATAATGTTTCAGGTAGAAAATATATGAGTCTTGAGTTTTAATCTTTTCCATATGGGACGTGTGTGCATAACATGTTTGAACGTCTGACTCTGAGGTGTGATAATGCACTTACCCAATTTGGACTGTTATTCTGTCTACATCAGACCTCATGGTTAATGATGTTTAATGCAATGTTCTGCAGCTTCACACTGAGACAAGGCCGTATGTTTTGCGCTGATCCCAGAGAGAAATGGGTCCATGAAATCATGCAGAGGGTGGACAGAATGCAGTCAACCTCATCTATGAAGAGGAAGGTGTGTACATTTTAAAATGTATATGTATAGCAGATCTTAATTTATGTTTTATTTGCAATCCATTGGCTTTAATACTCCTATTAATACCTAAAATATTTAGAAATGTCTGAACACACAATATTTTATAATAAAGAAGAGAGCGTCTGTAAAAAAAAAATAATTAAAGTTTCATTCTACCTTCATGCATGTGGGTACATTTTATTAAAAAAAGCATTTTTTTCCCCAAATACTACTCTCATAAAAGATGAAAAATTCCATTAATGGCAAGGAAACGTTGTCTCATAAAAGCCGGAAAATTTCACCAATAGTGGAAAAGTCTCATAAAAGATGAAAAATTCCATTAATGGCAAGGAAACATTGTCTCATAAAAGCCGGAAAATTCCGCCAATAGTGGAAAAGTCTCATAAAAGATGGAAAATTTCGTTAATGGCAAGGAAACATTGTCTCATAAAAGCCGGAAAATTCAGCCAATTGTGGAAAAGTCTCATAAAAGATGGAAAATTCCGTTAATGGAAAGGAAACATTGTCTCATAAAAACCAGAAAATTCCGCCAATAGTGGAAAAGTCTCATAAAAGAGGGAAAATTCCGTTAATGGCAAGGAAACGTTGTCTCATAAAAGCCAGAAAATTCCGCCAATAGTGGAAAAGTCTCATAAAAGACGGAAAATTCCGTTAATGGCAAGAAAACGTTGTCTCATAAAAGACGGAAAATTCCGCCAATAGTGGAAAAGTCTCAAAAGACGGAAAATTCCGTTAATGGCAAGGAAACATTGTCTCATAAAAACCAGAAAATTCCGCCAATAGTGGAAAAGTCTCATTAAAGAGGGAAAATTCCGTGAATGGCAAGAAACGTTGTCTCATAAAAGCCAGAAAATTCCGCCAATAGTGGAAAAGTCTCATAAAAGACGGAAAATTCCGCCAATAGTGGAAAAGACTCATAAAAGAGGGAAAATTCCGTTAATGGCAAGGAAACGTTGTCTCATAAAAGCCAGAAAATTCCAATAGTGGAAAAGTCTTCTAAAAGCCGGAAAATTCCGTTAATGGCAAGGAAACGTTGTCTCATAAAAGACGGAAAATTCCGCCAATAGTGGAAAAGACTCATAAAAGACGGAAAATTCCATTAATGGCAAGGTAACGTTGTCTCATAAAAGCCGGAAAATTGAGCCAATAGTGGAAAAGTCTCAAAAGACGGAAAATTCTGTTAATGGCAAGGAAACGTTGTCTCATAAAAGACGGAAAATTCCACCAATAGTGGAAAAGTCTCATAAAATTCCACCAATAGTGGAAAAGTCTCATAACGTTGTCTCATAAAAGCCGGAAAATTGAGCCAATAGTGGAAAAGTCTCAAAAGACGGAAAATTCTGTTAATGGCAAGGAAACGTTGTCTCATAAAAGACGGAAAATTCCACCAATAGTGGAAAAGTCTCAAAAGACGGAAAATTCTGTTAATGGCAAGGAAACGTTGTCTCATAAAAGACGGAAAATTCCGCCAATAGTGGAAAAGACTCATAAAAGACGGAAAATTCCGTTAATGGCAAGGAAACGTTGTCTCATAAAAGCCAGAAAATTCCAATAGTGGAAAAGTCTCAAAAGACGGAAAATTCCGTTAATGGCAAGGAAACGTTGTCTCATAAAAGACGGAAAATTCAGCCAATAGTGGAAAAGTCTCATAAAAGAGGGAAAATTCTGTTAATGGCAAGGAAACGTTGTCTCATAAAAGCCAGAAAATTCCAATAGTGGAAAAGTCTCATAAAAGCCGGAAAATTCCGTTAATGGCAAGGAAACGTTGTCTCATAAAAGACGGAAAATTCCGCCAATAGTGGAAAAGACTCATAAAAGACGGAAAATTCCATTAATGGCAAGGTAACGTTGTCTCATAAAAGCCGGAAAATTGAGCCAATAGTGGAAAAGTCTCAAAAGACGGAAAATTCTGTTAATGGCAAGGAAACGTTGTCTCATAAAAGACGGAAAATTCCACCAATAGTGGAAAAGTCTCAAAAGACGGAAAATTCTGTTAATGGCAAGGAAACGTTGTCTCATAAAAGACGGAAAATTCCACCAATAGTGGAAAAGTCTCATAAAAGACGGAAAATTCAGCCAATAGTGGAAAAGTCTCATAAAAGACGGAAAATTCCACCAATAGTGGAAAAGTCTCATAAAAGACGGAAAATTCAGCCAATAGTGTAAAAGTCTCATAAAAGACGGAAAATTCCGTTAATGGCCAGGAAACGTTGTCTCATAAAAGACGGAAAATTCCGCCAATAGTGGAAAAGTCTCATAAAAGCCGTAAAATTACGCCAATGGCAGGGAAACGTTGTGTCATAAAAGACAGATAATTCTGTCAATGGAATTTGAAGTATTGTCTCTTAAAGATGGAAAATTCCTTCAATGGCGGAAAAGAGTTATCTAATAGAAAATGGAAAATTCTATCAATAGTGGGGAAGCATCTTATAAAATTCAGTCAATGGCGGGGAAGAGTTGTCTCAAAAATGACGTAAAATTCCGTCAATGGCGGGTAAAGAGTTAATCAACTATAGGGAATGTATGCGACATCCATCAATCGGTTCAAAGTTTAGAACCCTAACATTTGGTGTCTTGCCTTGAATGTACAAAAATTCAATATAATCATAAAAAATGGCATCCAAAATAATTATAAAATATTAACTTTGTCAAAGAAATATATTTTGAATATAAAATTCTGAATTCTTTTTCTTTTGATGCACAGAATGTAAGGGGCTAAACAAGCGAGAGGACCATAGGGAAAGCTGCCCGAGTGTCTCGGCCAATCACATTCTTTCTTTGAGCTCCGGCTCTCCGAGCGCATATTTCAGCATGGATTGATTGGTGTTCTTCACAGTACTTCCTGTGTTTTCCACTTCCTGTGGTATCAGGTGGTATTTCCTGTTTCCAGACCTTTGTGGCTTCACTGACGGACTGCTGGTTTAATCCACACAATGGGAGATGGCCATTATTTCCCCTTTTCCACATGCTGCTGTGACCCTCACTTCCAGGCTCTGTTACCAAACCTCGTGAGCTGCCTTGATGTCTACTTCTAAGTGCATATCAGTGCCGCACAGGAGACTTACAATTCGGCACTGCATGTTGCTAAGCTAACAATATAATAATCTAATAAGCATAAAAATAAAGTATATTTGAATTCCTTTTGCAAAGTATGTAGTATATGATGCTTGCTATGTAGGCAGCTCACTAGGTTTTAAAACAGAGCTTAATTGTATAGGGTCGTATTAAGCTATTGCCTCATGAACTTTCACTTTGCACACTTTGACTGACTGCTTTTTGCCCCACGATATCTTTAATAAACTGTCAGTGTGATAAAATATTAGACAATAATTAGCTATAACTGTGGGTGGCAAGGTTTTGCAAGCAACACAGATAATCCTTCTATTTCCTTATGAATTTATTGTAGAGCAGACGCACCGACAAGTGATTTTGGAGTTTGTACGGTATTATAATGCATTGTAAATTATGATTTGTAAGCTTAAGTGATTATTTTGTATTGATCAAATGTTCACAGATCTGATTTATATTTGTAAATCTCAATTTCTTCACTCTGTCTTTTTAGGTGAGGTTTTATATGTTTAGTAGAGTTTATTATTTAAGTGGAACTACTATTTTTCACATTTAATGTTCACTTTAACACTCGACAGAAAGTATCTTTATAGAGGACGTGATGAAATGAGTTTTATTGTTTGGCTCTTTTGAAACTGGGCCACAAGCTCTTTGAGTTCCTGATTAAATATTCTTAACATTGCCGATTTTTGCTCATAAATAAAAAATAAAATGTTTGAAAACAACTGGATTTATCTTTTTTTTTACATGATGCAAGTTGTGAAACTGAGTTATGTTTAAGTTAAGTATCAGATGGTTCTCCTAAAATCCCTTAGAAGAATAAATGAGTAATAGTTGAGGCATAAAATCAATGTAGATCGGTTGAGAGAATTTAGTTCATGAGTTCATAGAAAGATCTCTCAATTTTGATTGAAAACTACAAAGTGTGGGAAAATCGGACATGTTTTGAGTTTCTCTAATAATCCCTTTCAGAAGAAATGAAATAGTTTGAATTGTGTTGTAACCTACTTTCACTTTACCGTGAAATACAAGACACGTTGTGCAACATAACAGGGTTAATAAAAAGCCAGAGAATTATAGCCTGTGCGGCTCTTGTAAAACAGATTGTTAAATTTACTTTTTAAAGGTCATCTTTTACATGGCGGTACAATATCGGATAGTAGCCAACTTTTACATGTAGGGCGGGGTGAATTCAGTGTGTTTGGGACACTTTCTCCCATTGAGGAACTTAAATGTCCCAGTCAACCTGATTATTCACCCCTGGATTGTCATAAATAAATCTTTCAATCTGTTTTGTGGGGTCTTTACATGCAAACTTACAATATAACATTGGTATTTAAATACTTAACTGGTATATTAATGGTAAATCTCCCAAAAACATAGTGTCATGCTATTGTTTTCTCAGTGAAGGATGTGCCAAATCCTGCCATGCAAGCATCACTTTCTTGTCACGGCTAATAGCAAACGCTTTAGACACGCTGTCTGAATATCCGCCTGTCCTGCAGGTCCCAGCGTGCAACTGTAGTCCCGAAGCTTTCGTTTCACGTGGAACAACTGCACCTTTACGCTCTCTCTTCCTCGATGGTGGTGATAAAGGCTGAGGCATGTCTGCTCAGATAACATCTCAGCAAGTGTCTCCAGAAATTGGCTTCCTCTGTGATGAATTGTTTCCAGTCGGTAGAGTTTATTCTGCCTTCGGGCTAAACATATCCCACAGCGAAGTTGGATTTTCTATACATCAAATGTGCAAATGGAGGCTGTAAAATGTAATTTACTCTGGTAATGATATGAGTAATGAAGATAGTTATCTTTATCGTTCAACAGCCTGAGGACTCAAGCGTCACATAGATGTATATCACTACAGTCAACTTATAGTTTTTACCAATCTTCATGATATTCCAATGCTATTTCACGGCAATTTGTACGAATTTTACTAGGTGGCTAATTCGCAACAGTTCTTACACTGTAAAAAAAAATATTGTTGGTTTAACTTAAAAAAGTAAGTAACCTGGTTGCTTTAAATTTTTAAGTTGATTGAACTGGAAAAAGTGAGTTAATACAATGAAGGAGATTCATTTTATCATCAGAAACTCAAAATAATAAGTTATCTCAACTAAATAAATTATTTAAGTTGATTAGACAAAAGTAAAAAAGTGTTGTGATAACAAATCTTGAAAATATATATTTTTTTTTTTACAGTGAGTGAGGTTGCTAAATCGTTCATATTTTACGAGTTGGCCAATTCGTATGAATTCGCACGAATTACCTACCCCTGACCGCATCCCTAAACCTACCCATCACATGGGTTTAGACAAATCGCATGAATTCGTACGAGTGAGACCGTATGAATTACTTCAAGTTAGCCACTTTTTAATCACTCACTGTAAAAAAATATTGTTGGTTTAACTTAGAAAAGTAAGTAACATGGTTGTCTTCAAATTTTAAGTTGATTGAACTGGAAAAAGTGAGTTAATACAATGAAGGAGATTAATTTAACCATCAGAAACTCAAAATTATATGTTATCTTAACTAAATAAATTATTTAAGTTGATTTGACAAAAGAAAAAATGTTTTGATTACTACACTGTAAAAAATATTGTTGGTTTAACTTAAAAAAGTAAGTAACCTGGGTTGCCTTAAAATTTTAAGTTGATTGAACTGGAAAAAGTGAGTTAATACAATGAAGTAGATTAATTTAACCATCAGAAACTCAAAATAATAAGTTCTCAACTAAATAAATTATTATAAAGTTGATTTGACAAAAGAAAATATGTTGTGATTACAAATCTTAAAAATATTTTTTACAGTGTTCGTGCGAATTGAATATTCACAGAAATGACTGAGTCGTTCAGGGAATAAACAATTTACAACGCAAATAGCTATAAATTCACAAATCATCATGAATACATTTTTGAACTTAAACTTTAATCAACTTGTTTTAGTGAGTCAATTCAGTGCAACCAGCCTAGACAAAACATGACTCCAAGTCGGTTATTTTTAGTGAATCTATTGGTATGTTCGAGGCTCGAGCAAACAGTTTTGGTGCCAATATGGGGAATATATATATATATATATATATATATATATACAGAGTTCAGATGCAAAAGCCTCTAAATGCCATTTGAAATTTTCTTCTTTACTGATGATTTTTTTCAAACTTGTATATTTAAGTTCAGTAATTTCACTTGAATGGCAATGATAATTACCTATTAATTGTTATTTAAGTGAAATTACTGAACTTAAATATACAAGTTTGATAAAAATCATCATTAAAGAAGAAAATTTCAAATGGCATTTAGAGGCTTTTGCATCTGAACTCTTCATATATATATATATATATATATATATATACAAGTAATACAAATAATATACAAGTCTGGATGGATGAAACAACTTGAGGGTGAGTATTGACAGAATATTCATTTTTATTAGTTCAATTTACGAACAAATAACTCCCCCTTTTTGTGTGAGTTAATTGCATTAATTGCAACAAGCGTCATGTTCGCAAAAAATTAATTCAATGAGCAGGTTCTTTTACATATGCATTCAACAAGGCGTCTCTATAGCACGCGGTGTTTATCATGCAAATTATACGCTACAACGAATTTCACGTGCATATGATACGCAGTTTCACTTGCATTTGATAGGCACTTTATACACACGCACCCGACACCACTCCTAAACCTATACGTATTATATGCACGTAAAAAATAATTTTTTTAAACGATAAACACAATGCGCGCTATCAGAGATGTATAGTAACTAAGTAGAACTACTTAAAGCTACACTGTGTGATTTTTACCCCCATCTAGTGGTGAAAAAATATATGACCATCCAGTGAATATTAGTTTCTGTTCCTCTCAATTCCGATTTCGTTTTAACTGCTACGGTGGCCAATGTAGTCCAAGATTAACATGGCTTCCAGTTCGACGTCGTCCATGAGTGTTAAGTGAAACGTAAACGCAAAAGGCGAAGCTTTAATTAACGGGTATGTCCCTCTTTGGCTAACGTACTTTCACGATGGAGGGGCAACATGGCGAACCCCTTACCCGTATGTATTTTCAATAGCATATTATACACTCACGAGAATACTTTATTACTTGAACGAAGTAAATATACATTTAATGAGCACATATTTTTTTTGAAAGAACTAAATGTTTTTAGCTAAGAATAAACTAAAAGTCGATATTTACGATGAATTTAATACTTTTACTTCGATATTTTTTAATGTTCTGCTAGTTACTCGTTACAATTATAAAAATTTTACGAATCATTCATTGCAAGTTGACGGTCATGCTGCCTAAATCACACACCAGTTTTATAGGGTAATGCTGGTATTGATTGACACACACATATTGACAACTAATGCAGGGGTTGTCCTGCAATGACATTTTTTTGGCGGCTTATTTGATTACTACTTCAAACTTTTGACTGCTTTCTTTAATAATTACATGACACAATACTTGTACATTTAGTACTTAAGTAGTGAATTTTAAAATAAACTACTTGCAATACTTAAGTACAAAAAAAATGTTGAATACTTTAGTACTTCTACTTAATTGTGGTGCTTAAAGAGCACTTAAACTTCTACTCAAGTCACTTTTTTGATAGAGCACTCAAGTCCGGGTTTCTAGTACTTTATACATTTAGTGTGATCGTGTTGGTAGTCCAGTTCACTAATAAACTACTTTTTTGAGCCGGTTCATTTTAGTGAGTCGAATAACATTCAGTGCAATTGCAAACCTTGAATAATATTGATTTTTACAGTGAAATATAATAATAATAATATTATTATAGGCCTATTATAAAGTGTGTGTCTAATGTCACTGCATGTAGAGAGAGAGTAGGTTTTTTATTATCCTTTAAGTAGCCTATATTCTGCCCAACCCTGCAGGTGATCAGGGCCTCGGGGAACTTTATCATCAGGGATTAATGCATAAAACCAATTCAGGTGTGGAACAACATCCTTTCAGAGCCAGTAATGCAGAATATAAGGAAAGCAAACCGTGTCCAAATATGTGGGTCAGGTTAAATATTTAGGTCACAATTGCAAAAACCCATCATTCAATGCTCATGCTCCTTAGGAACCACGGCGCTTTGTGTTTAATGTGTTTCATTTGTTTGTTAATCCGAGACAACTGTTATTGTTGCTATTGGTGGTTTCGGGAATGTATGCATAGCTTAGATGGATTAGATTTCCTCTTTAAAGAGTTTTTATGTAATGTGAAGTGAACATGTTGGAGCCCAGCTTTAACATGCAGGAATACACAAGCACTTTACCTCATGCCAACTATGAGGAACACAATGGGGTTGGTGAAGAGGGTCTTATAAAGTTAAAAGCTCTGGAATGATGTGAAAGTTAATGAAGAATAAGAGATGTTTTCTCTTCCCTGAACTCCTCAGCTCCAATGGTACTTTGTGAACACAACTTACACGACATAGTTGTTTTCATTATTCCTATGGAATAATCTAATTTTTCTTACTCAAAACTAGGGATGCACCGATATGAAAATTTTGCCCGATACCGATAATTCTTTATATTTGAATGCCGGTAACCGATATATCGGCCGATAAACTTAAATCCAAATTTTTACCTAATTTTGAGAGTCTGATTAAAAAAAACAAAAGTCTCACAATTAAATCCATGTCCCAAGCACACGATTATAATGATGTTCTCATTATAGTGTTGTATAGCCGATATGACAGATTTGCGCTGCATGTGTTG